TGCTGTTTTTCTATATCACTGAATTTGGTCTAAAATATTAGGATCCCTTATAAATTTTGCACCATTCCCGGTTTAGTGATGACGTGCCAGTAGTTGATGGGGATCTGTAAAAGTTCTGGCTCAGCATAGCAGTGGTGTTGACATCTGTCCTGCAAATGTTCACTGTTTCTGCTCCAGAAATATTTTGTGAGCAAAGTTCCACGAGACTGACTACTAGGGATACATCTCTATCTTAAACAAATATGTATCTGCTAAGTGTGGCTTCTGGGAAATCACTTTTTGGATAGAGGAGAAGCCAGTTCATGCCTTTCTGGAATTTCCGCAGAAGAAAAAAAAATGACAATGTCAATTTGATATTAAACAATTGACCATCTAATTGGATAAATGCATTGCTAAATATTTATCTTGACTACTCTTACAAAACCACACTAATTATAAACAGTGTCCCCTTAAGTAGCTAATCAAATACTTTAGTGAAATAAAAAGAGTGCACAGTTACTGTCAATAATGAAGAGCTGTGATAGAATGTAACACAGTTTAAGAATTATTTAATTTGCTATTTGTATACTATATTTCTCGATATTTGTATACTAAACGTCTTTAACAAATGAAAAAAGAGAATACGTTTATATAAAGATAATTAGCAAGATTTGTATTTGAATAGGTCTGATTCGAGTAATTAGCTAGCTAGCAGATGTATACATTAAATGCAATGTATTATTTATGTTTGCCTCTTGTATGGAGTTCTTTTCTGCATTCATATCTGTGAGATTGAAAAGTACTAAGTGTCAAATCCCAAGATAATCAGAATGTGACTGTGTGCTGGGAATTGCGAGATGCTACACTCCAACTTCTGGGAACATGTGGATAAGCAAACATCCACTGCTTCTCAAACGAACTGCAGAAAGATAAACAAACAAAAGGTGTGAAATTGTGCTAAAAATATGTGTACCCAATTATGAGTTATAAAATGTTGCACTTAATACACGTTCATATATGCTAATGAAAATGGTAACATCTTGAGAAAATAAATGTAAATTAAATGTGCAAATTAAATACCCTTAAGCACTACACATAAACAAATCGAAATACTGATATGTATTCTGATAAATGTCTCTTGTTTGGGCTCACATAGGATTCTAAAAAAGAGACCAGAAATATACATTGTGCACACCATAACAAATAAACATACAGTGCATAAAAATCTAAAATAGTTCACAAAATAAGAGCAATGTTTGGTACTCTTCAAACTACTGTCACCATGGAAGAATATCCAATATGTATGATGTATTCACACCAAGTTGATCTTACTCTTCAAAAAAAATCTAGAAATTATGGGTATTTGAAACCAAGAGGGCTGCACGAACATGCATATTTGTAAGGTTGCTGGTGGGGCCAATTTATACAACATACAAGATCCAGGGCACTCGCTCATTCACTAAACAGCAATTTTCATTTCTTGAAACAGCTGTTTAGTGACTGAGCAATGTGTGCTGGTTTTTGTATGGGGAAAATTAAAATACGGCCACACTTTAATTAAAAAAATATGTAAATGCCCACATTAAAACCAGTAAAACAGCAGCCCTATCCTCTCTTAATAAGCTTTAACAAAAAAAGCTTATATCTTAAAGTGAAATAAAATACCTACTCACTTTTGTGTTATTTTGCTTGTACAATATTTAATAGATGCAAGGATTATAAAATGCTTTCATTTCATATTTACGTGACAGTCAACTACACTATGACCTGATGACATCATTTTACATAGAATAAAAATTCTTAGAAAATAAAGCAATTTATTCAATAACTGCATTTTCTTTTGTCTCTCAATCATTGAACTTAAATATCTAGTTAAGAGTTAGAACGGAAGGTCACCCAGCGGAATTTTGCCGATTCATTACACAAACAATTTTAGCATTCACACTCTAAGTAGCACTAACCCTGATTCTTGGAACCATGTTTAATTCAACTCATTAAGGAATTAACTAGTGATTAAAATCACAAGATATCTAATTGTTCAAAAGTGTTAAATCCCTATTGGTGCATGTAAAGCTAAATAATTATTTTAATCACAAGCCGTGATCAGCTGGAAATTGCAGGTGTCTACAGAGAATTCATTTTCATATATTTGGTACACAACTGATAATAAAATCACAATTTCTTATTAAAACGTAATATAGAAATGCAATGCAAATAAATAAATAAATTTAACCTTCTGAATGCCAGAACTAACTGTGTCATAAAAATGTATATTAGAAATGTAATAAATTCCTCAATCCTTTCACTGATTCAAAATGAACATTATTCAGCCTATTGATGATCTTTTTCTTATTGCACAGGTCATTATAATGGGGAACATTTGCATTTGACATTTATTTAAGTTTTATTTAGCGATTTGCTAAATTGTCACATTGTCCTGGAAAAGATGATGTGAATTAAATGCTAAATAAATAGTTGATTTTCCGTTACCCTACTATATGTGTCTAATTTTAACTCCATTTTCACAGCTGAAAGAGTATGCTCCTCATTAGTTTGAACAGAGACTGTACTAGGAGGATGTTGAAAGCCATACTAACTCATTCACCAGTGTTGTCTTTCCACTTAGAATATGTGATTATGGTTTTTCTGTCAGTTATGATGGAACATGCACAGCTATAGCTCATTCTCTTCATTCTAGTAATCAGTGACAGGGTGACCTATTCTAAAGACTCCGGGAGCTCATAGAAGTCATAGATTAGCCTAGCACTCTTAAACTATGACTGTCACCTACCTTTGGAAGAATAGGTATTGATAAAGCACGCATGTAAATTTCACATTAACAAAGAGACTGGACAAAAAAAAGGTGCTGACAGTCACAACTTTTGTTCAACCACTCAAATAAAATAAAAAAGCAGGATTCTACTATTAGCCTCTTGGTGCCATAACCGCTACCTTATGCTCTAGTGGTTATGGCGCTTAATGTGTCCCTAAAGTCAAATAATTCTGGTTGTTATAATAGCTTATTAGTACAGGGATATCACTGTTTGTACAAATACTAGATTTCATTTCATGCTGGTCACATGATAGGTTGCTATTCTCTATAAAGTATTATTGTGTGTGCATAATATATGCTAAAATGTGCACCGTTTTGTAAGCAGAATTTTTATGGACTTAGTTAAAGGGACAATATATATATATATATATATCAGCTCATTGAAGTGGCCTGGGTTCAGTGTCCCTGCTACTTTAACCCAGCAATTGTAATTATTGCAGTTATTGATAAAATACCAGATGGCCATTAACAGGCTTTTCCGGGTTGTTAGGCGCTCTGCTTGGGGACAACCAGCATCAGCTAAAACCACATAAGAAAGCATTGATTCAGTGCTTTCCTATGGGGGAGTCTTAAGGCGCTTGCAGTGCTCGCTGCGCATGCATATTAGGTCCCCGATGTCGGCTGACATTGTGGAAGAGGAGCGGAGCCTGACCCAGAGGGACATTGGCGCTGGATTCAGGTAGGTGAAAGAAGGGTTTTTAACCCTGTCTGCGCTGCATGGGGGGAGGGAGGGTGGCATGAGTGTGGGGGGCACTATAGGGTGCTATGGTGCTGGGAATAAAACTTAGTATCCCTTTAACCCAGTTGACATATATGGAGCAGGGTAAGTGCTTCAATAGAGCAACTGTAATATTAACAGCATTTACAGCAGAAACGAACCAATGATTGCAACCCAATCATTGATCGCCTTGTAGCCCGTTCATCTATTTTGTGGGGTGTTTCTTAGAGTGCTATGTGCATACAGTGGCAGGGAGATTAGTTATGCTGCTGTGCCCGAGTGACTTTATATGCATTAGATGGCATTGCTAATAAAAAAAAATTGCAACAAATTCTGTGGGAAGAAGAGGGAAAACATACCAAGTAAAAGGTTGTAATAATAAAATCTACCCACACATCTGTGGTCAGTTACATTTTATAATGAAATCATTCCTTTAATCTTTCACCAATGATGTTACAAAATATATGTAAATGTAACTTGTATGTTTTTATTTCCATTGTCCCATGACGTTTTGCATTTCATAGCAGTTTGGAGGTTTATTAACTTTATCTTTATCTGTGCATTGTTCTGGTCACTGATTGTGATTTCAATTCCTGATATATTTTGTTTTATCAATTAGAATACAATTTGATTATAAAATGGCCATGTAGCATTTTCCCTTGCACGTCTTCCTCTAGCCTTACTTTCGGTAGTAAAATGTTTAACACAACAACCTTCACATTTTTGAACTCAGTGTGCTGTTTCATATAAAATCATATTGCATTAAGATATTAGTGATTGAACACCTTTGCATTCAAGTTTGATACAACTCTCCTGGAAAGAATTGAATTTTAGAATTTACCAGCGGGTCATAACACATACCAGAACTGGAAGCTTGATCTCTCTCATTTAAAGGTGCACTTTGGGTACACCATAACAACTTCATCTAAATAAAGCTGTTATGGTGCCAGGAGGCCTCCAGGTGCATACGTGCTTCGAAGGGTTAAACCGTTCTCAAATGCTTTAACCCCCAGCACCACTCTTCAGGTCCCCCAGGCCTCTGACTTTTGAATGTCAGTTTCAAGATACAAGGGCTGAGAATGGTCAGCCGCTGCTCTTAGCCCATCAGTGACTCGCAGTTCATAACACTGACTTGAAAAAGCCAGTTTTGTGAATTAAGTTTTATGTTAAAGCCGGATCCTGACTGGGGGACCTGAGGATCGAGGTAGAGGCTCACTTTGGGGCTAAACCATTTGAGAATACAAGTAAAAAAATTAAATAAAAAGTGAAAGTGTACCTAGGGCCTTCTTGCACCATAACAACTTCATTAAAATGATATTATTTTATGGTGCCCGAATTGTCCCTTTAAATAGGTCTAAACTAGTGATGTCCCGAATGGTTTGCCGAACAGTTCGCGAACGGTTTGCCACGAACGGTTCGCCATGGACTCATCATTGTGTAAACTTTGACCTTGTACCTCACAGTCACCAGACACATTCCAACCAATCAGCAGCAGACCCTCCCTCCCAGACTCTCCCACCTCCTGGACAGCATCCATTTTACATTCATTGTGAAGCTGCATTCTTAGTGAGCTGTCCAGGAGGTGGGAGGGTCTGGGAGGGAGGGTCTGCTGCTGATTGGCTGGAATGTGTCTGCTGACTGTGAGGTACAGGGTCAAAGTTTACTCAATGATGAGTCTGTGGCGAACCGTTCGTGGCGAACCGTTCGGGACATCACTAGTCTAAACATAACAAACTCATTGTATTTTACAACATTTTCTTTTAATACAAAAATTGAGGCACAGGCTGGTCTAGACTTTCTTTCATTCCAGCTATCCACATTAAACCTAATTTCATCTCTCTTTCTTTTACACAAAACCACACCCCATACCACCCCCCATACCAACCCGTACTGTCACTATGCAATGCCTCACCTGTGAGTTATTCACACCCACCCTCACATTCATGTAAACATTACTTACCATAATTTGCACACATAACTAGATCCAGTCATTTCCTCCCACCCATCCCATACCCTGCCCTAGAGCAATGTGATTTTACAATAATGAATTCCCTTATTACCTGTCCCAAGGCAGTCCCTATTTGCTATCTGCTAGTTATTGCCATGGTTTCTGCATGCATGAAGAGGGAATAATCAATATGTATGTAAAAAGGCATATTTAAGTGACACAAGTGATGGCTTAGGAAAGGACACACCAACAGCCCACTAGCAAATCCTGCCATGAGCCCTTTAAATTTTTCATCACATTTACACTATTTAAACCATTGTACATTTATATTCTGAAAATATGGCATTTCCAATTAATTCCTTTGCCATGGATTATATTGAAATACAATTTAGCCAACTTGGGCTAATTTTGCTCTCTTAATCATTTCATCTTATTCATTGAGCAGAACTCATCTGACATTAAGTAAATTTAAATTCCTAATGCAAGACAAAGTTAAAACTGAATTAACATATAAAGGTCTCACCGCAAATTGGATTTCAATCAATCAATTCTGCGGCTGCATTGGAATCTGATCTTTGAATCAAAACATATTTCAGATTTTTATTTCAAATGGATCATAAATGTAGGGGAAGTTGGCAATACAATTTGAACAGGACAGCAAGGTGGCACTACTGCAACACGTTAAGCCATTAATCCTAGTTGCTGTAAAGAATTATTTTGTAAATGAAACAAAACATATTGATCCATAATAAAAGAAGGAAGACCTGTGACGAAAACACACGATTTCCAGTACAAATACCTTATTAACATATTATATATCCTGTGTTTAAAAATTTGCAAAATAAAAACAAGTCATCAGTTTGTATGTAAAAAACAACATGCATTTTTCATTTGTAATATAATGTCCAAATCAATTTTGAAAAGCTTTTTTGCTGTTCTGTATAGTGTGCTTTCAATGTTCATAACATTACAGTAAGTGTGGATGCTGATGGCAAATTGTTTTGGCTTTGGTGGACCTGTCATGTCACTACTTGAAACAAGTTATGGTATCGTCACCTCATCATTAGTGTGTACATGTCATTAGGGAGCACAACCAAGGTTTTTACTTTTTAAATTATTTGTATTCTCTGCAATATGGACCGAAAGTAAGTAAAAATCAGTTTTCCTTAAAACACACAAGGTGCATCGTTGAGTAGTTGCAGGCGACATTTTAAAGTGTACCTGTCATGTTACATACATTTGCTTTTATTGAAAGTTCTTAAAATTGAATCTATACATTGTGACCAATGAATTGCCAGCAATGAATAAAAAAAATATGTAATATATATTCCCTTCCTTTATTTGACAACCAATGTTTGCAGTTTATTCCAATGTCATAGGGATGTATAAAAGGATTGGCCGACAGATAAAAGCAGAATAAATTACCATTAGGCTGTACTCCTGTAGTCCGTTTACTACGACCTTTTGATTAGAGCCCATGTTTTGTTTGTTTTTACCTTGAGCCCATTTGTTTAAATAATGAGCATCTCCAATCCACCTATCCACCCTCGCAGGTGGTTACGGGTGCCAATGCCCCTTGGAACTCCCCCAATTATGTTCCTACCTTCACCTTACAATAATGATACTGAGATGATGCAATACATATTTTTTCTTTCTTCAACTCCCCCCCAAAAAACATCAAACATTTTAAAACTGTTTAAGATAACAAAGAAAAAAACACGAAACAGGATGCAATAAAAACCCATTCTTCTTCAGTCTTTGAGGGCACTGCACTGACTAAGCATTCAAAGCAGAAAAGGCCTTTATAAAGAAATTCCCACACTTTGAATGTCAGTAAAAGAGCATTGTGATTGGTTGGCTTGGAATTTAACCTATCACAGTGCTCTCATGGGTTAGTCTCACTTCTCGCTAGAAGATGAATGTGTACATCTATACAAATTACCAGGCAAATCACAAGACACGTGACCCAAGAGAGTGGTACCCAAGAGACTTTTGCGATTGGTTTGCTTCCAAGCCAACCAATCACGGTGCTTTGACTTAGCACTCAAAGCACTGGAAGGCCAAAAAAAAAAAGCCCACCAAGCTTTAGTCTCAATCCCTTCCCAGTGTTGGACTATTCATAACTAATACATATGGTACCAAATTAATTTAATCTACCCTGTATAGATATAAGTGATTTCGCTATGCACCCAATGTACTTACCCTCATTATATATTTCAATCCAGGAAACAAAAATAAAAATGTGAGATATCCTTAAGAACAATCACACATTGAAAAACACATGTATAAAATACAGATATAATATCCTCAGTAAATGATGATGGGATAGCCAATACATGATATATACTGTGCCACAAGTTACCATTCGGTGCATTTATTACCCGTTATATTTATAATCACAGAAAACAATAAAATATTGAGTTAAATATCAATGGGAAAAATAACTTTAGAGAGAATAGAATACATGTGGTTAATTCAGTGAAGTATTGATCTTGTAAATCGATAGAAAACAAAATATGCTGAAACACAATTTGAAATAATGATACCAATAATAAAACTATACAGTAAATAAAAATCCCTCAATTAATCTTAAATTGCAAACAGCTTTGAACAAGGAAGTAATCAGCAAATAACAGAAAGAAGAAAAGGAAATTGAAGTAAACGAAAATGATTCTATGTTGCAGATGTTTAGATTGGAATGGGAAATAATCTCAGTGATATAAAAGTATCAAAGATGGCATAATATGAAATGATTAGAAGCAGTATGAGGTTACAGTGAACTTGACATCCACAAAAATGTATTATGTATTGAAAATATTCCTCTACTGAAAAGGCTTTAAAGATGTCATACTTTGGCTATTCTAGTAATATAGTAATAAAATGGCATTTATGTGAGTCAATAAAATAAAACCAGAAATTCTCAATTTCTCTATTTTACTTGTAAGTTGATTAATCATATATTAATATATATATTTATATATAATTACATTTTTTTATGTATTCCTCATTCTTGGATGGCCTGGGAGTCTGAGGGTACTGCACAGTATACTAGCTGTTTGTAGAACTGCACTCTTCAGGACAGCGAACTCAGATGTCCCACCTGGAATCTGCTGAAGTTATTTTGCCAACTTGGGGGGTCACAGCTCTTAGTGCTCCTATCACAACTGGGACTACTACTACCACCTTTACTTTCCACATCCTTTCTAGCTCCTCTTTTAGTACTTGGTATTTTATCCACCTTCTCATGTTCTTTCTTCCTGATGTTATGGTCACTGTGTATAGCCACATCCACCACCACTGCAGTCTTCCATTCCTTGTCTACCACCACAATGTAATTTTGTTTGGCCACTACTTGCTTGTCTGTCAGGAGTGAAGCATCCTAAAGGATCTTAACCCTGTCATTCTTATCTACCCTTCGCGTTATCTCCCATCTGGATTTAGGCATATCGAGCCCATATTCTGCGCAGATATTTTGGTACATGATCCCAGCAACTTGGTTGAACCTCTCAGTGTATGTTGTTCTTGTCAACATCTTGCAACCAGCCATTATGTACTGGATTGTCTCAGAGGCCTTTCTGGTGTGGTAGAACCCCACTTCTTTTGATCTGGTGCTGAGTGCCTGTGCTGCTAGAATTTGTGCCTCAGTGCTGTCTTTCAGTCCTGCATTTTCTACTTTCTAACATTGGTATATCTGATAAAGATGTTTGTCTTGCCATGGAACCTCCTCCTTTAATGCATCCTCTGTTGTTATCTCAAGCATTGTCTTAGAGGTTCTCAAGCATTGTCTTGAGAACCTCTAAGACAATGCATTGTCTTAGAGGTTCATATTTATATCATATTTGTACATTGCTAAACACAAATACACACACCAGTCAAGCCATAAGACTTGCGTTTCCCACAGAATTAACAACAATACAGCTGTCAATGAGTGGTTCACTGCAATCTATAATGAATGTGGCGGCAAAGCTCATTTTCCTGCCCACCTGCACCTCCCATGCCTCCCCCCTCTGTCAGTCCCTACATTGGCTTTCAGTTAGTTGTAGACCTAAATTTAATATTCTGGTGCTTGCTTACAAGTCCCTACATAATACTGCTCCAACCTACTTAATCTTCCTAATACATAAGTATGTCCCATCGAGTCCCCTTCGCCCTCCCGAAGACCTATGTCTTTCCTCTGTCCGTTCTCCCACATCTAATGCTTGCCTCCAAGACTTCTCCAGGGCTGCACCTTTTCTGTGGAACTCCCTTCCATTCTCTATTAGACTTTCACCCAGTCTACACTCCTTCAAAAAATCTTTGAAAAAACATTTCTTCAGGAAAGCATATAATTTAAACTGTTAGTGGGTTTTCATCCCCCACACCCGCCCAATGACTCCTCTCCTGCAACTGTCAAAAATAACCTACTAAGTCCTCAGTGAATACTTTTATAGCAACCTATTTCATTACCCCTACTTTTATCCTTTGTGTCATTGAGCAGGACCCTCAACCCCTCTGTTCCTGTACATTGAATTGTCTGTGTGGTCTAACCCCTGTCTGTTCGTGAATTTCTGCTCTATTACACATGTCTTTTCATTTGTTAGGCCCGCTCCCCATCCGGGAACACTCCCACGAAGGGGATTCATTCACCTCTCAAATGGGGAACACCACAATACCTCTTTTAGACTGTTAGTAAAGAATGTTC